GGCAGCAGAAGCAGGAGGGGGAGGAGGGGGCATCCTGCTTTCTTTTTCTTTATTTCTTTTTACTTATTATACACCCTGCTGAAGTATTTTCCCAATACTTCAGCATCTAGAAAAGTATGCAAACAATCAAGCGCTAACATCTTATATCCCCCTTGGATTGAACCTTTCCTATTCAATTTCTCTCATCATTTTAGGATTCAGATGGTACATGTCATTCTATCCATTCCGCTGTGGTCCTCTGGCCTGGCCTGAGATTTAGGAATCTCTTTCTTGGAGTTGGAATTTCCTCCTTCATTTATCATCATTTGGTTCTTATTTTACACTGTCAAGAAAGTTATTTCTCAAATCTCACCTAAGGACTAGGGTTCTCTCTGAGTCTCCTGAGATTATGGGGTATTGGAGAACATTCCAGATTCCTTGCTACCTCTTGGTAAGAGAATTGTTTGATTGATTGATTGATCCATCCATCTATTCATTCATTCATTCACTCAGCTATTCTTGAGCATTTACCAAGGACTGGTCTCTGTGCTGGGCAATGGGCATCTGGGCTTTTGTGAGACATTTAAACTGCCCCTGACCCATTGAGCTGAGCTGCCAGGGAAGGAGGTATGACACTGAGATCTTTCCTCCCCAGATAGCAAGGCAGTAGTTCCCATACCTCGTATTCATTCTTGCTCCTAAACCCACTTGCTGATTCTCTAATTGAATAGTTTGCACAAAGAGTAAATTTTCTTCATATTTTCAGTGCCTGCCTGGCTTTTCAGGCAGAGGATAATATCCCTTTGTGTGCTAATCGGCTTTCCGGGATCATCCACATTCTCTAGCTTCTCAAATGAAACTCGACCTGGGCCCTCTTGGGCAAATAGAATCCTGGAATTTGCATAAATGATTAAATCTGGCCTTTTAAATTGGGCCAGGGTGCTTCCCAGCTTGCTCTGTGCTCCCTCCTCGTGGGCGTGGCTCTGTGGCACACGGGAGAGCAGCGCCTTTGCCCCCCAAGCCTGCGGGCAGTGGGCACAGGTGGTTCAAGGTTAGTGGGTGAAGAGCTCTAGCTTTACAGCTCAGTCCCAGCTCTGCCATTACTAAGTGTAAAGCCTGGGGCAAATTCCCTGAATTCTTGCTGTCTTACTTGTCTCATCCATAAAATGGGGCTAATAGCTCCAAACTGTTGCAAGAATGAAAGCAGGTAATGCCGGGAAAGCGATGCAAACAGTGTTTCAGCCAGAGCGAGTAAGCAGTCGTTAATAGAAACAACAACAACAATGATCGTTTTCCAAGTGGAAGAGGCAGCAGGGGTCTGCAAATTCCATTTTGTGTCTTGGGGTTTGTTGGCAGGTTCCACGGAGGTAGCTGCCTCATGCTACAGTGGAAGGAAGGAAGGAAGGAAGGAAGGAAGGAAGGAAGGAAGGAAGGAAGGAAGGGAGGGAGGGAGGGAGGGAAGGGAAAGTTGCATTTATTAAGACAGACACCGGGCTGGGTGCATTCTCTGCTTTCTCACTTAACTTGCAAACACCTCCACGAGGCATTAGGCATTGCAGTCCCCCCATTCCAGAGAAGGAGGCTACCACAGACGCTGGTAGCTTGCACTAGGATCACAGGGGGCCCGGAAGCAGTGAGCGCAAGTGATGAGCTGCTTCCATGCTAGCAGAAGAAATGAGAAGAGTAGCTATATTGATTTGTCTGTTCAGGCTTGGGCCCTACACATATCATCTATCTCCACTCCCTGAGTTGTTAGTGCCCGAGTTTGCAGGTAAGAACAGGAAGCTCAGAGGAAGCAAATGGCCCGGCCAAGGGCAGAGCAAGCACGCGATTGGATCTCTCTGCCTGCCAGGCTGGTGCTCCCTCCCGAGTAGCTGGAATTGCCCTGCTCTGCTGGGAGGCGCCTATGTGATCTTGGGCAGGTCACTTAACTCATTTACAGTGCAGCTTCTTTCCCTATAAAACAGAAGATGACAGCTGCCCTGCCTGTCTCTGAGGTCTGCCAGGAGCCTCAAATGGGGTAATGGATGTGAGAGGGCTTTATCAACTGGAAAGCTCTGTAGAGTTGGAGGGGTTATAACCATCACTCCATAAAACTCCCACACGCAGCACGTCTCCATCTCCCTCCTGATGCTGTTGCCCGGCTTTAGCTTTGAGAGTCTGCCAGATCAGCTTCCTGTCTCCTGGCACCAGGGAGGAAGGTCCTCCTGCCTCTGCAGTCCCACTGCCTCACTGGAGACTCTCAGAGCGTGCTGCATGGCGGAGGCTTGAACCGGACCCAGGGCGTGGTGGAATGAGCCCACCGGGTCTCCCCAGCCGACAGGGGCTGTGTCTGGGGGGCCTCTGACCTCTCTCAGGCCTGCAATCCCTGTCCCAGGCCGGAGCTCTGCTGGGACCTCACTGAGCACCTCTGAGCTCCCCAAAGTCCCCCACTGCAGCTAGACGACTCTGGTCAAGTAGCTTCCCTGCCCAAGGAGCTTAGACTTTCCATTTTCAGTTGCTTTCAATTGAGGGCTCGGAAGAAACCACCTCCCACATGTTAAGGACTCCTTTTAAACTCAGTTCCTGCAGGCTTTTCTCTCTCTCTCTCTTCTTGCCTCCTTTGCCCTCAACCTGAGAAACAGGCCTCCCCCCACTCCTCCTCAACGCGGCCACATCCAGTAGCTGGGAGCTCACCTAAGCCTTCTAATTGGACTGTTTCCCTTTGGGACTCCTTCTGATGGCACGGCTGTAGAAGCCTGTAAACATGATCTTGTCCAACCTTGTCATGCCACGGATGAGAAACGGAGAGCAGAGCAGAGAGTATTTATTCAAGGGCTCTCGGTGTATTAGCTCCCTTCATCCTTGGGAGGATCTTGTTGCGATGTGGTGGAAGTGGAGGGTGTTCAGGTTCGCCTCATTTGACATGGTCAGGTTCACTGAGTGCAAGCCACGTTCCAAAATGACCAGCAGGAGACATGGAAGACTTAGCCATACTGTTTTTCTAGAATATTCTATGTACACGACTATCCAGAGGCACGAGGCCAGGATAAAATGATCTTGGGAGTTTGCCTTTCCCTGAAACTGTTTTGTGGTTGTCTGCTGCATCCGGTTCCTAAGCTGTGGGAGAGGTTCCTAGGTACCTCGCAGCTTTTTGGCACTTAGGAAATGTGAAATAATCGTTATTGTCAGTTGTAGCCTAAAGGAGTAAGCTGCATGACATTCCTTTCTCCTACCTGCTCCCGTGATCAAAAAGACAAAGCAAATGAGACGATCTCCTCCTTGCCCAGAGACAATCTCATTGCCTCCGCTCCGACGACCATATAGCAGCGAGCGGTGTTATTGCCGTCTCTCCAAAACAGATGGGAGACCAACCTTACCAGAGGAGTGAAGAGTTTGCTATTCAAGCTTAGCTGCAAACTTGACAGTGAAACACATCCCAGAATCAAAGCCTTCTTTCTCTGCTGCCTCCAGGTTGGAGGCTGTTTCCCTAGCCCAGTGTGGGGAAGGCAGAGGAAGTTTCCTTCAGCTTTTTGAAAAAAGGCTCGGGTCCTGCCGTGGCCCCTACTACTCCAGACGGCAAGTGGGTCACTTGGGCAAGCACACAAGGAGGGTCCCACCGCACTGGGGCTGTATGGGCAGAGTCTGCTGCAAGACTCCCTTCCAGTTGGCTCACTTATTTATAGGCAAAGCTGAGAGCTTTGGGGGATGGGTGCAACAGGGACTATTGGTGGCAGGTTTTGCCTCCCCCTATTGTCCCCAATAATTCAGGGCTGGCTCCACACTTGCCTACCCCACGTAGTGAAATAAAAGCCCTACTGTTAAGGAGGATGGTCTAGTGACTATATACAACCCGGACATGCCCTACCTCTGCCTCCTTTATCTCTGAGTACCCGTCTTACCCCCCTACCCCCCAAACTTCATCCCAATGAGGCTCAGCAAAGTATTCCACCAACCCCTACAGTCCTCTCCCTTGGGGACTTCTGGCAAACACATTCTCTCTAGCTTCTTACATCTCCAGAGATATTTTACTTCTCTTTATGGTTGGCGTCTGGGGGAGTGGCCTGGCTGGTCCACCCTTGATTCTGTTCAGACTACAGGTTTTTCACCTCGCTGGGTCTGCTTGGGAATTCTAATCCGTACGTTGTGGACCCTGACTCCCGTTTTCTCTCCTGGGACTGATGCCAACCTGTTTCCAGCTCTAGTTTGCTCCGGCTCTCCTCTTCCTATACCCCTGTACCCAAGAAAAGCCATCTTCTTCCTGCTCTCTTGGCACTGGCCTCCCAAGTTCCCAGGGAAGGTTCAAACTTTGTTCTCCTATTCAGATGGCCTTTCTTCCTGCCACTACATACCCTGTTTATCCAGAGCCCATCTCTGGCCATGAGGGAGTTGCTGGGCAGCTGGTTTCCCAGGGTTAGTGCTCTGCTGCCCCCTGGGGACGCACATTCTACAGGCCCGTTTGGGAGACCCGTAGTTTCCACATCTAGGATAAACCAAAGGAAAGCTCCGAAGTCAACATTCTTCTTTATATGCTTGCTTCCCTTTCCTCCCTCCGCATCCCCCTTCCCGCCCCCCCCCCCCCCCCGCCACTCCTACTGCTTCTTCTAAGCCCACAGATGTTTTCTCCAGCTGCATGAGCCCCTGCAGAAGCCAGGTGAGAGTGTCATGGCTTTCCTTCCAGCTCAGGGTTGGGGCCTGTGGAGAGCAGGCTGGTTCCTTCCAAGCTGCCAGATCCTTTTGTCCAGGGAGAAAGCAATCATTGTAGATTTGCTCCAGCCTGGGCCCCGCTAGAACAAACACACATGTGCATATTAACACCCACATGCCAAAAATTCAATTCCAGCAAACAACCAGACCCTGCTAATTAAAATGTCTAATCCATTTAAATGAATGCAACAATTAACTTAGCCAGACCATAATTGCGTGATTTGAATACTCGTCCTTTTCATTCCCATCTAGTTGGCGGGAAGACTCATTTCCTGGGTGGGGTCCAAACCTCGTGATCTTTGAAATGAATTTTATTGCTCGGCTTCCCTCTACAGAAGGCCTCGCCCCTCACCTGTCACCTGTCACTTCACCCGATGAGACTGACCCCTGCTTTCCGGAAACTTGGGCCATCGTGGATTACTTCTGGTTCAAGCCATGCTGATGGAGAAACACATTGGGTCAGAGTTATCCTGTCCCTGGAATGCTCCTTCCCTGCAGGTGCCTCTCTTGGAATTTCTACCTGGGATGGGAAAATTGGGGGCTGTGATCGTCTCTGTTGTTCCTATTCCTGCTCCATCCAAAGACTGCCACTTTAACCCTGTTAGCATCAGGGCCAGAGAGATAGAGAGAGAGAGAGAATCAAAGAGACAAAAAGAGAATCAGGGACTGAGATACAGGGAAAGAGAGAGGGGCATCTTTTGCCCACACAACTTGAGTATAGGAAAGATAAACATCAGAGACGTATTCTCATCACCTGTGCCTGGACCTAAGGGCTCCCGCCTGCCCCCATCTCTGGTCTGCTCTTCACCTCCTGACTCGCATCTTGAAACATTTATTGAGTGTGTACATGCAAGGCCCCGAGGTGGTCGCTGGAGAGAGATAAGACAAGAGCATCAATAAGTAGAAGTAAACAGAAGGGGTGCCACGAGAGAGGTACGAGAGACTGCAGCGGTCGTCCTAGAACGGCCACATGGCACAGCATGGGGTCTTGTGCGCAGAGCTGGACAGAAGCAGAGGCTGGGGCACTTGAAGAGGTGTTTGCATAGCAAGAGTGCTGTTTTTACTGAGATTCCGGGGGCGGATCCAGGTTTTTGGGAGCGTGAAGCTTTTTAATTGACAGGGAGGTTATTTAAGGAAACCCCCCCAAAATTGTGAATAAGGAATTAGGCATAAAATCAAATATTTATTTCAAATGGAAAATAGATCATCATAAATTATATATTTTTAAAGCTGACAATACCACAAACACCACAGAAAAAGAATGGACTTAAAAAAAGAATTAGCTGACTGGCACACCTCTTAGAACGTTTTCTTCCTCTGTTTTTTTGGTCGCATGCTCTTTGATGCTTCTTCATAGGACGTCAGTTGTGGAGTGTCATTGTCTAAAGAGAGAATAAAAGGAGAATTCTGTCTTTCTTCTGACACAGCTGATCAAAATCTGTTTTTTTTATAAATCATAGTTCGGATTCATAAACCATGAGGCTCCACACACACACGGCGCATGTTTCTGGGTTAACGCCACCGGTTTGTGCCCGGCAACTTCGGAATTGGGGTAGATTCCGTGGGAGGAGCCATGGGCACGGTCACCATGCATTCACTCTCTGGCTCTGCCCCCCCCCAGCGCCCCACGCGCGCTCCCCCCCACCCTGTCACGGTGCTGTGATTTGACACAGTGGGTGGGAAGCGTACTCCCTGAGTCATTTCTTTTTTTTTTTTTAAGATTTTTTTTATTTATTTATTTGAGACAGAGAGAATGAGAGAGAGAGAGCACATGAGAGGGGGGAGGGTCAGAGGGCGAAGCAGACTCCCTGCCGAGCAGGGAGCCCGATGCGGGACTCGATCCCGGGACTCCAGGATCATGACCTGAGCCGAAGGCAGTCGCTTAACCAACTGAGCCACCCAGGCGCCCCTCCCTGAGTCATTTCTAAGCAGTAACTCAACTAACTGGAAAACTGGGAACTAGTTACATGTAACTAACCCAGCTAAAAGCTTTCCCCGTTCACCTCGGCCTGAGCTGGGTCCCACGGTCACTCTGGGGCAACTGCTGAGAAGCCAAGTGTGATGGAGGGAGGCTGGGATGGGAAGAGATAGCTGGTTTCACTACTCGGGCTTAAAACATATTACTTTAGAAAGTTTTACAAAAACATAAGATCATGTAAATACATCGCCAGGGCCTCTCCTGGAACCTCCAGGGGCTTCTGAGAAGTGAGGGGCCTTGATGTGTACAGCTGCATGGTTTTATCATAAAGTTATCTTTATAATATATATATTATATAATATATGATATAATAATAATTATACATATAATATATATTTTATATATAAATATATAAAATATAATATATATTTTATATAAATATATAAAATATATAAAAAATATAAAATATATATAATTATAATATATAATATAAAAAATATAATCTTCGATTATAAACTTATTTGGGAAGGTGATGGAAATTGCTAGAGAGATGGATCTCTCCCTGCTTACCCCTTAGGGCTGAAGAGAGATAGAGAGTGTTGCACAGTAATGAAGGGTATCCATTTTGGAGTCGGTGGTTCTGGGTTCAAGTTCTGGCTCTGTAATTTAGGAGTTCTGTGACCCTGGGCAAACCGCCTCCACCCCAGCTTTCTCATCTGTGAAAAGGGGGTCCTCATAGAATCGGCATGCCGGATAAATGTGACAATGCATGAAAGGTATATAATAGCAAATGATCGCTGCTGGCTGTTCTTTATTTTTCAGAGGGAGGAGAGATAACTTGCAGCTCCTGGGTGGCAGGGTGAGAGTGGAGGGCAGAGTCTCCTAAAGGAGGGACATTTGACCTGGGCCTTAAAGTTCTGGGACCAAAACATTTGAAATGGGGAGACCGTGGAGATGTGTCCAGTTTGGCTGGAAAATTTATTATGAGTTTAACAAGGTAGTTTGGGGCGGAGAAGGGCCATAGGCGCTAGGCTTTATTTCGCACGATTTGACACGATCAGATCTAGGATTCTGAAACACAAGTCCTGGGCGGTGGGAGAGGACGACTGAGTGGGGAGGAAGCATGGAGTGTGAGGCTTGCTGGTAATTATTGAGATAGTCCTGGCAGGACGTGGAGGACCGAACCGGGCAGGGTCAGAACATGAACGCACATCGAGAAGAACAGGCTCCACGCTGACGGCATGGTTAGCCTGAATCTCTCTGAATTGTTTATCCTGCTCTCTGCTGGGGCTTGACAAATAGGAGATGAGGCCGGCAGAGCTGTGGCTGGTGCCAGGCTGCGGCCAGGCCCTTTCAGGTATGCACAGTGCCCTCGCTTGGCAGAATCCTGCTCCCTGGGCCTGAAGGGTCACTCCCAGCGCTGGCTGCAGCTGGCTGACTTGTCCTCACATCTGAGTAGGCTCTTTCTCAGCCGGGGGGAGCTGCCAGCAAGTGCCGGCCTCCAGCAGGCTGATGGGCAGTGCGATTTATTTTAGGCTGAAATGACATCGGGACAACAACACCTCTTGCGGAAAACGATTTAGGCCCTGTCATTGCTAGCCTGGAGGCGGGGAGGGAGGTCGCTCTCTCCTCTCAGCACCCGCCAGAGTAGCAAGGATGGCATTAGCAGGCCCCTTTGGACACAGAGACTCAGAGCCCCCTCTCCTGGCCACCTGCCTGGAGCCTCAACCCACAATCTCGTGTAGTGATACCAGGCAGGCGCCAGAGATGAAGGGATTGGGCTCAAGGCATTAGCCAGCCTGGATGCGGCATTTTGCCCAAAGGTTTCTACCTCATTTGGATCGAGTGCTGTTCTGAAGTCTCTGCCCATTGATTCAGAAGATGGTTGCAAACCCAATAAATCATTAATGGTCATTCTCACACATCCATTTGCACGATACAGAAGATGGAGGCACAGATTGCTTCAGATCAGGCAAAATGGAACTTAAGTCCCTTATTACAGATTCTATATCTCATGAGAGACCCACCCCCTCTCATTTGCCTGTGTTCATATCTTTATCCCAGTTGCATAGTGCCTAATATAGTTTTTGGCACATCAATTAGTATTAATTTGTTGACTGATTGCATTCTGAGATGAATAATAATTTGGACCAGGTAATTTAATTTCTATTATTTTATTATGGGAAGGAGGAGGGAAGGCTAGTATATGTCTTCATTTATTCACTCATTCATGCCATGAATATTTATCGAGTGCTTACTGTGTTCTAGGCACTGTACTATGTGCAGGAGACAGAACAGCAAACAGGCTACAGCTCCTGCCTCAGGGAGCTACGGTGTCATGGTAGATAGGTAAGTACTTAACACATCACCTTCGGGGAAGTACCTTGTGCTGTGTAAGCACATTCCAGGCACACTTAACCCAGACAAAGGGTGCAGGGGGTGGTGGTCAGGGAAGGCTTATTAGGGGCGTTGAGGTCTCCCCTGGGAGCTGAGGGAAGTGTGGGAGTTAGCCAGGTGACAGGTGGTGGGGAGGTGCAGGTGAGCCCAGTCCATGGCCCAAGGCACCATGGAGCAGATCCTGGTCTAGAGGAAGAGTTGGCTAAAGAGAAAAGGTAATTGCAATAGTGCGGAAGTCCTGGGATTGGGGGAAGGAGTACTTAAGGGAGATTTTACCGATGAAGTGTTTCTGGAGACACACAACTGAACTGAGTCCAGGCAACTCAAGATGAAGGCCATTATGGTTTCTCACAGAAGCAAAGGGAAACCAGAACAGCCAGGATGGTTCTAGTGTGCTCACTAGTACAGCCTCTTTGGTCGGGCCTGACAGGGAACGCCAGGAGTTCCAGCTGCCGGGTCTCTGGGTGCTCCCGACTTCAACTTCCTGGGAGGAAAACTCTGATTGGCCAGATTGGGTCAGGGGTCTCTACCTTTGCATCAATCAGGCACGGGAAGGGAGGGGCCTATGGGTCAGGGGTCTACCCTTTGCTCTACCTTTGCACCAATCAGGCACGGGAAGGGAGGGGCCTATGGGTAGACATGGTCAATCCTACCTTGACCCTGTGAAGCCTACCTTCAGCTCTGTGGTTTTTTTTTTGCTTTGTTTTTAGAGTGCAAATAGGGAAGGGGGGCGTTTCAGTAAGAGAAGGTGCAGTAGAGAGGTAGGAAGTTAGGAAGGTTTCCTGATGTCTTCACCTTATTGAGCTGGAAAGGTCTGGTGCTTATTTGCAAGGACCATGGGTTTCTCTTCTTCCATGCCAGCCATTTCTGCCCGTGACTGGATCTCACACACCCAACTCTAGCACTGCTAGACTTTGGTATGTCCTTCAGCGTCTCTGACAAATTCAGGAATCTGGAGTCCTGAGAAGTTTCCAGGGCTATGACTTAAGGGCTTGGGGGGAGAAAGATATTTTGGAAGTGTGGGGCAGTGGAGAAACTCTGTAGACATCTAGGGAGAGGGAGGGGGTATAGAGAAATGTGCTACTTTCCTAAGTCTGATTTGGGTTTATCCAAGTGAATAATTTCTCAGGTAGCCAGGAGGAGCCATAAGCCCCACAAGACTGGGGCTGCTCAGAATTCAGGCTGTAGTTCTGACAGCTTCAAGTTGGAATCAAGCTTAGCACTGGGGCCTGTGAGGTCCTTTGCTTGCTTCGCTCTATCCTCCAGGCCCAGGGCAGAATTCCCAGAGGCTGAGAACATTGCTGTGCTGTGTCTTTGCAGATTCATGTTAGGGGCAGATGAGTATTTAGCCCCTCACTCCTCTTTGCTTGCTTACCAGGCAAATGGCTTGATAGTCCCTGGCCTAGGGAGTGAGAAGGAGTCAGGCTCTGAACAGACATCTTTGCTTGGAGAGAGGACACCCTCCAGCCTCTTCCTCTTGGTGTCCTAGGCTATGGACCGGTCTCACCTACCCCTCTCCACCACCTCTTCACCTGGCTAATGGACACATTTCCCAAGAGCACTTGGCCAGTTGGGTGGGCAATTGTTCTTAGCCTCTTAAGATCTTAGACAACCCAGTCTAGAAGGCTTCTCAGATATCTGTTAGTGCATCCTTTGATTTTATAGAGAAGGAAGTTGTGCCCAGAGAGAGGATGGGACTTGCCCAAGGTCAATCAGCTAATTTGTAACAGAACTGACACCAGAACCCAGACCTCTCAAAGCCAGGTGAGCCATCACTTGTGTTGCTTCTCGCACCTCACATTTCTGTGGGAGGACTGAATGTGCTGAGACCTTAGAGCCAGCTTCCCTTTTGCTGTCACCTTCCCAAGGGTCAGGGTCGTTCTCAAGCCAGCTCCAGGGGTAAGAAATAACTCCTGAACTTCCCTCTTTTCCATTAAGCATTTTTCCTTGGATAAGGAGATCTTGGATGCAAGAGTCAGACCCAGGCTTTGCTAGGAGTCACTTGATTCAAGGACATGCTTCTTAGAGCTTTATCACCAATTTAAGGAGCCCCTAATCCCAGGCTCTATTGACCTGGAGGACAAGTATACTTTTAGTAGAAGGCCCCTCATCATATCTGAACTACAGAAGAGAGCAAGAGAGCAAGAGGAACTGAACTGGGTTGTGGGGTGGTTAGACCACTTGCCAGCTTGCAGACTTTGTGCTCTAGACGATTTTGTATGGACGGGGTGGTGACAGCAGTGGCCCAAACTCCTAGAGATCTCCCAGTCGTCCAGGGATGCTGTGATCAGTTCAAGGCCAGCGGCTTTGCCTGCCTTTCAGAGCCAACAGCCTCTTCAGATGAGAGAGGATGTGAGCCTATCAGCTTTTCCCTTCCCTTTCAGGGAGAGCTTCTTTAGGACTTGAAGTGCCAATGTCACAGCTCCAGGGACAATGATTTTATCATTTCTTTAGAGAGTAGTATGATCTCTCTCTCTCTCTCTCTTTTTTTTTTGTTAGGAGGAAAGGGAAATGATCAAAAAGAGAGAGAGAAGAGTTTTGAAAACTTTTTTAGTTGGTGGATTTTGTGTGTGTGCATGCATCTGTGCACGAGCATGTGTGTGCGCCCGTGCTTACTCTAAGGCAGCTCTTGATGAGCAGCAACCTTCGATATCCGGAGCTATACCCTGTTTACTCTTCACTGGTAGACTCTGGGTGTTTGGTAAATAGAACACCTCTAAAGCACGGCGATAAGCCCCACTTGAGGGCCAAATTGGGTGTCTCTTTACTGTAGTAACAAACATGACAATGATTTACTAGAGGGAAAAATGACAAAATCCAATCCTTCCTGAAAATGATAATAGCTCACAGTTACTGGGCAAGTACTCAATGGCAGGCACTCTTACAAGCTCTTCACACACTCAGGATTGACTCATTTGATCCTTCTTTTAACTCTGGGTAGGTAATTTTGTTTTCCTCTTTGTATGAATCATGAAGAAACTGAGGCCCTGAGGGGCTAAATAATTTGCCCAAATCACACTGGTGGCAAGAGGTGGAGCCAGGACTTAAACTCTGCTGTTTGGTTCCAGGTCTTTCCTGGCTCTTAGCTGCCATGTGATCTTCTACTTCTATTTCTACTTCTACTACTGCTGTGTCTTCTTTTCTTTCTCATTTTCATTCTCCTTCTTCCTTTTTGATACTTCTTCTTAAGGCCCATGTCTGAGTGATTGCTCTGACACCTACTGCAATAGAATCTGAAAGCTGTGGGGTTAACTCAGTACCTACTGGGAATGGCTGTGTCAGGGAGAAGACTGGCCCAGATACATCCTCAAACTACCACCCAACTCTGCAGTTTCTAGGAGATTTGACCACTATTGCTGGCCACCTGCTTGCCTCCCCCAAAGCCTGTAAAATGCAGGCCATTCTCACTGGCAGATCAGTCGTGGCTAATTCAGGGCTAGTTTCCCTCCACACCAACCCCCACGGCGCAGTTGTCCAGGCAATGCTGAACAGTCTCCAGTGATGGGGACCTTACTGTCCCACAAAGCAGCTCTTTGCATCTTTGGATAATTGTGATCGTTGAGAGTTGGGGCTGAAGTCTGCCTTCCTGTAGCAGTCTTCCACCTGTCCCTTGGTGGAAGAGATTTGGGCCCTCAACCACAAGCAACCTTTGAAAATTTTGGAGAAAACCTTTACCTATACCCAGAATCTTCTCTTTCCTAGGTGACACCTTCTCAGTTCCTCCTACGACAGAACTTGAGGACCAGCCTAGCCTCTCAATGGCTTGTCCACATTCCTGTTAATGAATCACTGAGATGTGGCCTGGTAAGAACAAAGCATCGCAGGGCAGTCCCTTCCCTCCTTGCAGAGATTCTATTAACGAAGCTTCAGGTGAGAGTCACTCGAGACAAACATCCCAGGCTACTTACAAGGCTTATGATTGATAATCTCAGGCATCAGAGGAAGTATCTGCAGCTTCACATAGGAATCATTTGAAGATCTTTTAAAAAATAGTAGAAACTCTTATTAATTGGTCTGATATGCTGCCTAAGTATTAGGATTTTAAAAACTCTTCAGGTATTTCTAGTGTATGGCCAAGATACGAAAACCTGGTCGTACTAAGACCAAGCTGGAATGTAATTCTTTTTTTTTTTTTAAGATTTTATTTATTTCTTTGACAGAGAGACACACAGCAAGAGAGGGAACACAAGCAGGGGGAGTGGGAGAGGGAGAAGCAGGCTTCCCGCTGAGCAGGGGGCCCGATGCAGTGCTCGATCTCAGGACCCTGGGATCATGACCTGAGCCGAAGGTAGACACTTAACGACTGAGCCACCCAGGCTCCCCTGGAATGTAATTCTTATGAGAACAGGGACTTGGTCTCTCTGGTTTCCTGCTATATTCCCAGCAACAACAAAGGTGCCTGGCACATAGGAGATCTTGCTCAGGAAGCATTTGTTGATGAATGAATGAATCCTTTGCACGTTTCTGAGTGCTTGCTTATCACTTCATCAATTGTCCCTGATAAAGTAATGATAGAAGGGCATTGAGAGACTATCTCTGCCTTGGACAGGGAGGGATGGAGTTAGCTGTGTCTGGTTCCTGGCCAACACGCAGTTAAATTATCTAAGTAGGACAGAACAGAGCTTGCTGGCACATGGGAAGGGTTCTTGGGTCACTGCGCTCCTGTGAAGGAGGCTGTGTTGAGAACATGGTGACAACTTTGTGTTTAATTAACATGGCTCTAGAGGGATCTGGAAAAGAATTTAATGGAGGCTAAGATTACCCACAGACTGGGGAAAGGGTCAGCTCAGATCAAAGGAAGCATCTGGAGACATGGAATAAGGCCTTACTGAGAAGAAGTGGGTAAAAGAGCTTGTTTCACTGGCTGGAAATTTTGTGAGGCATTTGAGACAACTGAACTCTGAGAGGCGTGGAGAGGGCATGCTGTTAGGTTGCAGCTGTGCCTGAGGGTCTGGGGCTCTCCCTGCATCCAGGATACTGCCTCCATGGAGACTTGAGGAGCCCATCCCCACCTTCCCTCCCACCTTATGTTCAATGTGAGCATAGAGGTTCCAAGGGGGAAGAACCCATGTAGAGGGAGGGACACTGAATATGAGAGGAAGGAGCCTAAACTGAGAGCATGAGTGTGATAGGGGTATGGGGTACAGGAGTCATGGAGGAGGAAGAATCTGGTAAGGAGCAGCTTTCTGATGGGCAAGCATTGTGGAAATATGATAAAGAAAGGAAGAAATGTGTGTAGATAGAGAGGACTTGAGTGTGTGTTTAAAGTAGGCAAGATGGAAGGTTCAGAGCTTTCTTCTGGTAACGGGGAGGGGAACTGATAATGTATACATTATCTCATTTAATCCTCACAATTCTCTTAAAAGGTAGAGAGTGTCAACCCTACTTTATCCATGAGGATGCTGAGGCTCACAGAGATTCGGTGACTTGCCTAAAGTCACCAAACCAAGTAAGTGGAGAGTTGGATCACATATAAATTTGCCTGTCCCAGAAGCTTGAGTTCAGAAGGGAGAAACATAGCTGGATGGGGAGGGCTCAAAATTCAAATTTCAATGTTTAGGGGTGCCTGGGTGGCTCAGTCAGTTAAGCGTCTGCCTTCAGCTCAGGTGATGATCCCAGTGGGGTCCTGGAATCGAGCACCACATCAGGCTCCCTGCTCAGTGGGAAGCCTGCTTCTCCCTCTGCCTGCTGTTCCCCTGCTTGTGCTCTCTCTCTCTGACAAATAAATAAATAAAAAATCTTTAAAAAATTCAAATCTCAATGTTTAAAGAAGCTAAGTTTATATTGATATAAGTAATATAGTATAATTGATGTAAGTAATAAATTGATACAAATAATATAAGTAATGTCTTCCTTCTAATTGCCCAATCTATGTAGAAACTACTATCAGGAGACGGTGAATTATTTGCAGGTATGGATTACTTTCCAAAGTCTTGCCTTCCAGGGTTCCCCTTAGATGGGACACACCTCTAAATAGTCAGGACAAATCCTCCCAAAGCTGAAGGACTGGGACAGGGCTTCCAGGGTATTACTATCCCACTCCCCTTCCTCTCCTTCCATCTGGAATGTGAAGTAATTATAGGCACTTACTATAGTGGAAAGAGCCCAGGTCCAGGATACATGATGTCTGAACTCAAGGCTCTCCTCTGCTACTGTCTCCCCTGCACATTTTCCTCTCTCTTCTTGTTGACAGAATCCCTCTTTCCTGTGGGTACTCATACTATGTGGTTTTTATGGAGCTGTCCCATGGTCATTGTCTGTAAGGGTCCCTGTAATTCAGAGCTGCTGATGACTGTCTTTCCAATCAAGTGTAGAGAAGAAGAGAGAGACAGAATTCTGACAGGGGCGCCTGGGTGGCTCAGTCAGTTGGGCGTCTGCCTTTGGCTTAGGTCATGATCCTGGAGTCCTGGGATCGAGCTCCTGCTCAGTGGAGAGCCTGCTTCTCCCTCTCCCTCTGCCCTTCCCACCTGCTTGTGCACTCTCTCTCAAATAAACAAAATATATATAAAAAAATTCTGACAATGCCTGAGCACCTGGATCCCACTGCGCTGGATTCTGCACATTTCAGTCAAGTGATCCCACGAATACCAGATTGTCTGCAAAGATAGCCCCAGTAACTTCTCCCATCTCGGGGTGCATGTTTCTTTGCAATGTGAAGTTGTCTCCTCTTATAGACAAATAGAGTCTATTTCCCCTCTCCTTGACTTTGTGGCTTGATTGGGCCAATAGAATGTGGCAGAACTGACAGGTATTCCTTCTAAGCTTTGGTCTTAAGAGGGCCTGCACCTTCAGCTCTCATCCTCCTGAATCCTTGAGATTTGCTTTGAATAAGCCTGGTCTAGTCCCTTGAGAATGGGAGAACACGAAGAGAGAGGCCCAGCCATCTCAGCAGAGCTCAGGCCAGCCTGCCAGCTGAATGAACTACAGTGAGTGGTGGAAGAACTACCCTACTAACTCACACAATTATGAGAAAGAATAAATTGTTATTGTTTTAAGTCACTAGTTTGGAGGGTGGTTTGTTATGCAGAAATAGATATGTGATTCATGAAAATATGGTCATCAGTTCATTCTGTGACCTGTGTATTAATCATAGTTTTTTATTTCAAGTAAAGCAAAATCGGCTTTTGCTAATTTGACCTGTATAATAATTTATCCAAAAGATATTGGGCCATCAGGAGGGCTGAAGTTCCATGATCAAAGCTTCTCAGCCAGAAACATACTCTTAAATTAGAACTCTCCACCAGGATCCCTCCCATGGCTGTGCCAGGAATTCAACTGTACTAGAATTGTCAATGATACCAGAGAGAACATCCCTTACTACCTGCTGGTTTCTTTGCATCTCTAGCTCCTGATTCAAAGTCCAGGGTGGGTGCTTCTGACAGCTCAACTCTAGGCCATGCATCTACATGCTGGCTACAGGGAGTCTGGGAAACTATCTGTCATTTCGGCTGTTATAATGGGAGGCAGACTCCTAAGATGGTAGATTTTCCCAAATGTAGGAAGTGGTCCAAAAAGAATGACCAATGTCTTTTTACAGTTCTCCCCTTTTCCAGATCAACATCAATGTACACTCTTCTTTCCATATTTGTACTTCTAAAAGAAAAAGACCCTAAAGCAATTCAGCTATCTCTTAGCCCCAAACAGCTTATTTCCTCCCCAAATTCTCAACAGATATTATATCTAACTTCAAGCTAAGGATCCGTGGATGATATCAATTGGTCCTCTAGCTCTGGCATGAATTTGCATTAATATTATGTAACTTACAGAATAAATTGTGAACCTGATCACAACAAACATACTCTATATGAAAAAGTGAGGGAAAGGGAGAAGAAAGGAGAGTCACATTTGTTAAAATATATATATATGTGCATAATACACCAGGGAAGATGATTCACATAGGTACTTCTATCCTTGTTTGTACTATAGTTGAAATTCAGTTTCTTTATGGATGGTATTTAAATTTTCCTCCTCCATTAACTTGCCCATGTTTCTTTTTGTTTTCATTCAGTACTCAGTCCAGGTTCTTAAACATTGGTGAGGGATGCAAACATTCATTTTCGAGGGGTTTTATCCTTAAGTAGTTTTTATCTGCATCGAATCGCAATGGTTTCCTATCAATCTATATGACTATGGGAAATAGGAATATCATAGGTCGCCTTTTGGTATCCCTTGTGCTCAATTCATACTCTTTCCAGACTCAGTGTGTTGTGGCAATATTATTTCCCTTTGAGATCTAGAGCAAGTACTCTAAACAACATAGTAATCCCATTTTTTAGTTTGTTCATTCAGAGGAAATAGGAACCACAAATGGCTAAGTTAGAGCCTCAACTTTCAATTCAGTGAGCTAATTGTAGTGTTTCCTGGTAGGCACGTTCTTCCTGGGATGCTAAAATTTCTAAGTCTGCAATGCATGGAGTCATAAAGATTGGAGGCACAAACTTTGCTAACATATTTAGTGTGATAGAAGTGCCATCCCCGTGTCCATCCCTTGGTTTCTAGACTCATGATTTCTAGGTATGTAAGAAGTATGTTGCTTCATCCTGTATACTTCATGGTACCTCAACCATACAAGTGAGTTGGATGAGGAGTAGCAACATGTGAGGAGCAGGCATACTGGGAATATAAGTTCATGAAACTCACTTGTGCCATTAAGACTGTCTTGAGCCTGGTCTTGTTTATATCACCTCCATAGACAATGGTGCGTTGCTGGGCCTGCCTGATTTATAGTTAGGTGGATTAGATAACATCCAGCTCAGGATAGGTAGCTCAGGTTGCATGATTATCTGGTGTCTAATGGCCATGCATTCAACCAAGGCCTAGTAGCAAGCCAAGAGCTGTTTCTTAAAGGGATGATGGTAA